TATATATATATAATTTAGATTTTGTTAGGTAAGAAATTTCGATAGAAAATTAACCAATAGTGAAATTCTTCCATCCACAAACATTAGGCAAAATGGATTTTCGGAGTTGTATAAAGTCTAACATTAATTATCACCATGACGTGTCCCCCCATTAAGTGAGCATTTCAATGTCAAAGAATCATTCTCCCTCTGTATTTATCACATCTTTGAATTTGAGATCACAAAAAATATGTGGCCAACCCCTATTAGAAATTAGAGAAAACTATTTAGTTATCTTAGAGATGAACTGCAGCCGCTTCATGAAGCGGTCGCATTTTACAGCCCGTATTCAAATATGCTCCAAGTTGCTCAAATGGTGTCATAGAGAGCCCAACTGCTCCTTTCCAACATGCGCACTACACCTACAGGTATAAAAAAGAGGACAAAATTCGAAATTACAATAATATCTTTAAGCACGTTGAGGTGGTCGCCATGAGAGCATATTTTACACTTACGGGTGAAAGATTTGCTTGGGAGTAAAATCTTGTCGAAAATTTTGAGATCCACTTAAAAGTTAATATGTCAGTATTTCCCAACACAAGAAATAAATTTTTGGAAATTTATAGATATAATGGAAAACATTTACATTATGATCTATATTTTGGGGTGATCTATGATCAGATCCAAACTTGCTCTGATTCTTTTTTTTTTTTTTTTTTTTCAAGCTTTGCCTTTTCGTCCGATGTTTTCAACATTTTACCATTTTTTTATTTTTTATTTGCTTCAAATGTAGGGCTAACTTAGGGGTTGGTCCGATTTTGCAAATATTATACCGTCAAAATGTGGTTTGATGTTTGGGCATCAAACCAAGTTTTTCTCAATGGCATAGCCACATGCCATTCAGCCTGATGTTGTAGACATCAAATTACTCACTAGGTTGAGTCCAATACACAGTCTGATGTCTGGAACATGGGACAACATCATAACAGTACCAAGTCAAGAGTTTTTTTAATAAAATGAAAAATATTGAGTCTTGAAGGTATTTATAAACTTGAGAGAATGGTCATTTATCTATTCACTAGTTTTAAATACCCATATGTCTTGACCCAGGTTTTTATTAAACCAATTATGTGACCTGATTGTTGGTTATTTAGAATCCTCGATTACCTAAGATCATGAACCATAGAAAATATTATAAGAAGG